ACCTATTTATTCTGAATTAGCATATCTCATTAACTGTCTCAAGGACACTGGCTGAATTCATCTTTTAATGACTATCTCAAAAATCTAGCTTTTCAAAAGCGGAATGTAAATGCAGAGAACTATACAATTAACCCCCTCGCTTCCAGCACCTGGGTAAGAAGATGATGGAGGATGGGGTTTTCCACCTGGCCTTTGAGTGAAGCCATGTGGACCTTTGGTGTTTTGGTGTGTGACATGCCAGCCTGTCCTGAGGCCTGTGCAGATGTGGGGCTGCTGAAGCAGTCACTGGAGATGCTGAAGAGCAGGACAATCCATGGGCCTGATGCAGGAGGTGCTGAGGGCTGCCTCCATCCAACAACCCAGGGCCAATCTTAGAGGTCAGGTGCTGCTCCTCGACACTTCAACAACCAACATTTTGGGGTCCTGAGGTGAGGAAATGAGCACTGACAAGAGCAGGTGTGCCTCCTTCGCATCCACTGCATGGCTTGCAGGTATGTGTATTCCTTCTGCTTCTTCTCTGATTGTATTTTCCCCATAAATAGCAGCACTAGAATTATTTTGGTACAATATTTAATCATTCAAAAGAAAACCACTGAATGATGTGGTATTTCACTTGGATATAATCCAACAAACCCACTCTTTTTTTTTTTTTTTTCTAATGTGTGAGTATTAGTGAAGCTAGAATGCCTCCAAGGCTTCCTGGATTGCTTTTTTTTGTTCTGAAACAAAGGCCTCAACAAGCTTGTATGATGTTGTCTGTGTATGCTCATGCACAGAAACGCATGGTGGTGGAGTGCTTATTGAAGGAAACACAGTTACACCAGAAAGGCTAAAATATGACACTGACTGTGGGGTCTGCAGAAACCTCCAAAGGGCTCTGAGGGCTGCTTTAAAGGCAGGGCCCAGAACCAGCAGAACGCGGTGCATTGCACCGGGCCGCTGTGCCTTATGCCTTGTGAAAGGGCATGGAGAGAGGGAGGGCTGGAGAACAGCAGGGGTCAGAGGAATTGTGAGGAATGAGAGGGCGTTTAGAGAAGAAGGAAGATCCAAGGGCAACGATGTTACAAATGAAGAGATTTCAATTTCAAAGAAAGCCGCAAAAATAAAAAATGTAGGAAACCAACGTGGAAATTCTGTTCGTGCACGGGATGATTGATTTGTGAGCCATTCCCAGCGCTGCGGCTGTATACTTACCCCTTCCGATGGCTCATTTGAATTTCATAGCATTTATTTTGATCCGAGCAGTGTATCACCCCGGAACGGTGTTGCTGAAATTGTATTTCAAGGCGATCGGACCTTGATTCTGCAGGGTCAGTGTGGCTCAATCCACTTAGCGCGGCACCACAGCTCGTGAGGATGTCGTTAAGGATGTGCCAGCACTTCCATTACACACCCCATTTTCAAGGGTTTAAACTTGCAGAGTCCTTTAGCAATATACTATACCGGCAGCAGCGCTGGGGGAAAAATCAATATTATAATTCAAAAAGTAAGTAAAAAGTACCCTTTGCTAATGAAAGCAAGGACAGATGTGACTGCTGGAAGAAAACGAATAGCGCCTAAGCAACAGGCAAAGCATATACTAATTCAAACCTATTCACATTTAAAAATAGCACACCTAAATTTAACAGGATTGAAGCAGATGGAGGTAATACATAAAAACATTAACATTTCTGCAGCCTGGATATTCACAACAGCAAAGAAACAGGATCAGAGATCGCTCCCTGCTTCGCATCCCTTTAAATGCTAATGGCAGTTGAATGGATGCACTTGGAGAGGAACTTGGAGTCTCCAAAGGAGTTACATTACTTGCTTAAATGTATATGGATTTATTTTTCTCTAGAGAAAGCTGTTAGGTATGCTCTTAGATAAAAACAACACAAAGCCTTATGGTGGGGTGTTATTATGTAGAATATGTTGCTCTGTTTAAGCCATTATCCCATTAGGATTTGAAGCACCTAAAGCCCTGGAGATGAGGGAGAGTGAAATCAGTGGCATTCAAGCATTTGCGTGAGAAACAGTTTTGGTGGGGAAGGGAAATTTGGCATCAAGCAGCTTTGAATGTTATTATTGAGAAAGTAAATAAACACTAGGTATATATAAATTATTTAGAGAGTGTCCTAAAGATGCCATCCTTCCCATGGGAAATGGGGAAGGAAAATAACAGAGTAAATTTCCATAGGAAAACTAACTCCCCATCAAACAAGCAGCATGCCTTGGATTTTCATTTATCACTTAGGTGCAATATGCATTACACTAGTGCAATTATATGCTAGTTTTGTCAAGTGTGTTTGTGTTGCTTTCTTTAGTCCCATAAGGATGGGCTGAGAGTGAAAACAGAAACTCATTTCAGGGAGCCACATCCAAACTTCCTTGAAAGCAAAGGGAGTTGGCCTCTGGTACCAAAGTCTGCCAGAGTGCATTTTGGGGACCTTCAGCCATTGCCTTGCTTTGAGCACCTTGTTCCACAACTCTGAATACAGATGTGCTCTGCGAGGCAGACTCCAGCGCGCAGGCAAATACATGGCTTCAGGGGCTGCTGCAGCAACGTAGGCGAGCAGACTGACTTATTCTCACCACCCCTGCCCTGGCAGCTCAAATAAATCTTGAAGCAGCATTTCTTTGAGGTGTGTGTGTAGCCTCATTGCCTTGCGTGAATGAGAACAGGCGAATTCCCACTCAGACTGAAGAGCCTTTTCAGCAAACTGGAATTTCTTTCACATAAATGTGCATCACAGCCATCCTGCTTCCAGAGTCTCCACTGGACCTGTGCAGCATGCACCCTGTACTTGGCTTGTGCACAGCACCTATCTGCAAAGGAGTGGGCTTTCACATCAGCAGCCACTATAGCACAGACCTGATGGCCTTTGGAAGCACTGCTGCACAAGCTGATGTCCAACTCATTGCTTCTTAAGTGGGATCTGTTGTTTTTCCTGGATAGTGACAGGGGTACAGGAGACCAAGACACAACATAGCTCTTTTAAGAGGGTAGCTTTAGAATCATAGAATCATAGACTCATGGATTGTGGGTTGCAAAGGACCACAATAAACACGTAGTTTCAACCCCCTGCTATGTGCAGGGTCACCAACCACCAGTCCAGGCTGTCCAGAGCCACATCCAGCCTGGCCTTGAATGCCTCCATGGATGGGGCATCCACAGCCTCCTTGGGCAACCTGTTCCAGTGCGTCACCATCCTCTGTGTGAAAAACCTCCTCCTAATATCCAACCTAAACCTCCACTGTCTCAGTTTAAGACCTCCCCACTTGTTCTATCACTATCCATCCTTGTAAACAGCTGTTCCCCCTCCTGTTTATATGCCTCCATCAAGTATTGGAGGGTCACGATGAGGTCTCCCTGGAGGCTTCTCTTCTCCAAGCTAAACAATCCCAGTGCTCTCAATCTTTCTTCATAGGAGAGGTGCTCCAGCCCTCTGATCATCTTAGTGGCCCTCCTCTGGAACCAATCCAAGAGCTCTGCATCTTTCTTGTACTGGGGGCTCCAGGCCTGGATGCAGTACTGCAGATGGGGTTTAGATTAGATATAAGGAAAAAATCTGTTACAGTGAAAGTGTTGAGGCACTGGAACAGGTTGCCTAGAGATGTGGTTGATGCCCCATCCCTGGAGACTTTCAAGGTGAGGCTGCATCAGGCCCTGGGCAACCTGATCTAGCTGTGGTGACCCTGTTCATTGCAGGGGAGTTGGACTGGACAGCTTTTAAGGTCCCTTCTAACTCTAAGGTTTCTATGATTCTAATCGTGGCCTTCTACAATAATTTTTAATCAAACATTTTGAATTCAATTCCTGTTGCAACAAGGACAGCAAAACAAACCAAATTTATTTCCCAAATTCCACTTCTATGTGCTCACAATCTGTTGCACATTAGTGGGACGATGTGTATGTAATTATTATTCTTTTCTTTAGAAAAATTAATGGAGACGAAAAGGAAACCTAAACAAATGTTTCTTTAAAGAGAACCTGACATTTCTCTGTTTGCCAGGAGTTAATTAGCCAAGGGGTTAAAAATCCTTTTATTTAATACTGCAAAAGTGAAGAAAAATATGCAAATAAGTCCCAACAAAGTATAGTATGAAAATGGAAGAAATATCCACCCGCCACCAATTAAGATGATTTTTTTCACAAGAAAATGATGGTTGATTTTACTAATTTTACCCTTGTGGTAATTGTCACTAATCTTCAGCATATTGTATGTGTCTTGCTCTTATGAATCCCATATCCCCTTGTACCATAAATATTTCATAAAATATTCAAAACCAGTCCACAGCCAAGTAATAACAAATGTCAAATGACACATTAGGAAGATTCATAGCGATTTTAAGTATGAATTTTATATAAAAGCCTAACTCATTTATTGTGGTCAGCATTAAGGATTGATTTCAACAAAGAAATGCTCCGCAATTAGTATCAGCACCTTTATTGCCAGCTTGCTATTAAAGCAGAATTAATAGATTAGCCAGAGCTCTTGGTAGAGGACTGCAAACACTGCTCTGCTCAGTTGCGTTGGGATCTTGATCTCCAAAGGCCTCATTCAGGACCGCTTTAGCATACGTGAAGATGTCTGTTGAGTTTTATATCCTTTTACATCTTTAATTAGTTTTCAGTGTCTCCTTTTCCTGCAGCAGTTTTTGCCAGTGATTCCTTCACTAACATCAGCTCAAAACCTTTTTCCCTCCTTCTTTCTCTATAAAAATTTCAGGCTTTGTTGGTTAAAGCACAGTTTCAGACTTCCTTACTTTTATCAGCTAGGAAAACATAAAGCACTAGGAAAAACCAGACTTACTTTTCCCCTTCTGTGTGAGTTTATTGAACTTGGCTGGTGGTAATCAGCCCAAAGTAGGGTGGGTGTCTGCAAGCAGGTGCATGCTCAGGTGGAATGGAGCCCATGTGTATGGCATGATCACTAACAACTCGCCTGAGGAGTGAGGAAACAGCCCATGAAAGTGCTTCTCAGAGGTAGTTGGGCCCTCTGAAATGAGGTGTTGTTTGAGGCCTGGGTTGGGAGCGGGATGAGAAAGCTTGTGGTGTCACCTTGTTGGCTGTGTGCTGTATCTCTCGTGGTTAGGTTCTTTGGGGTGCACTGGCTGCTAGTATGATGACTGAATGAGGGTTAAGTGATAGCTGGAGTAAAGCTAGAAGGTGCTGATTGCATGTGAGGTTTTGTCCCTGTTTTCCTGCTGTGCTTTAGATCAGTACTTGATAGCATTTCTATTGAGGCAGCACTTGATGTAGTTGAGTACAGAGAGATGGGCAGCATGCTGTTGGGTTTTGAAACTGAGCTCTCTGAGCAAGGTAGGTGATAGTTACTCTAGCTGCGTCCCTGAACTGTAAGAGTTTGCCCATGTTATGGAGGGGGTGGTGCACTGCAGGAGGTTCTCGTAACTGATTTGACTTTATTCAGAGGTGTGTATCTACTATAATTTCACTTAAAGAATATTTACTCTCAGTACTAGAAAGAAGCCCTTGATTTACAAACGATGGTTGAAGTTATCTTTGTGGTTATAAATCAGGATGAAAGCAGATAATGAGTTTATGGTAGAGGGAAGTGGAGGTGCTATGTTACTCTGGGTAGGATGGCTTGTCCCCTTAGTGACCTCTCCTTTGCCTCTTTGGTTCTTAATTCTCTGTGTTTAATATTGCACTTATTTATTTCATGATTAAACAAACCCAAAATACTGGGAATGTTAAGAATTTTCTTCTGTGTTTTATGGAAGCTACATACTTATAAGCTTCAGTTGAACTTCTCTCTGGCATTCTGTATGCATTCTGAGCAGCTCCATATCCCTGTAGCTCTGCAGCATGTCATTTTGCTCTTCTTTCTATCCTGAAAATACAGAGCGACTATCTAAACGTGTATAAAGACTTGTACTTAATTGCTTTTACTTCATTATGCATTGTATCCTAGATTCCTCATATAATTAATAATGCATCAAATGGCTTGCTAGAATAATAGAAGATGCTATACTCTGTTACCTATTATAAAAGTAAGACCTTACTATAATTTAAAAAGTAAAATGTCTGTCTCTCATCTTCTACTTGGTTGGGGTGCTCTGCCCTGGGAGTCTGGCAGAGGTGAGCAGGGGCCATTCTAGGTGTGTTAATTCAAGCTGCTGGCATGTGTAGGCTGGGGTCAGGCCAAAACAGGGCCGGCCACCTTCTTCATGTTCTTGTCACAAGTCAGCAGATCTTGCCCAGCAAAATCCTGTCATTGTGGGCAAATTCATTCAGCACTGATCTGGGGAAGGTGGCACAGAGATGCACAGTGCCTGAGTGAGCAGCATCCTTTGTCATTTGCAGCCCAGGGAATTGCCTTGTTGCTTGCTGCGCTTGGAGGGCATCCAGTATTGATGTGAGTTGCTCCAGGAATTAGATAATTGAACAGGTATTAAGAATCTTAAGGCAAATTATTGGGAAGCTGAGCCAAACTGAGTAGGGAAGTGGGGGTGCCTAAAACTTGGAGAAAGCAATGAACTGCAGATAGGCTCAACTTGGCAATTGCCTTTTGTTTTAGGAGCCTGTTACAAGGATCTTGGTGGAATAATGTTTAAGCCAAATATGAAAACAGCTTGGAGACCCTTCTTTACCCTGAACAGGTGAACATTTGCACAAATATATTCCTGTTAGCAAATGTAACAAAATACTCTGGCCTGTAGTTCTGTGTAATTGTTTCTCCAAACACTTACTGCTCAGCAAGTAGGAAAGGACTATGGCCATGATCAGGCATGTGTGGGTCCTGTTTGTGGGCTTTTGCTGTGGAAACCAGTGAACTTAACAAGCACTTCTCCAGCTGACTGTTTTCTGGTGGTCACTGGGAGTCTGTGTGTGCTCTGGGAGGGAACAGAGGTCTGAGGGCACTGTTGTGGCCAACCAGTAAATGGGATGTGAGGGGCTGCTGGATCTGCAGAACAACTGCTGCAGTGCTGCAGCTGTGTCCTCCTGTATCTGTGAGCATGGCCTTTCTGCTTTATGTCTCTTGGCTGGATGCTTGCTGCGCTTGCAGATTCCCATTTTAGGAGTATTTAAATGAACGTATTTTAGCCATTATGGGAATGAATTCAGGAGAAACTACAACTTGGTGTGTGTTAGGTACTTCTCCTTGAAATGGTGGTTTCCTGTTTAATTTGGAGGGGAGGTTGGAGTCTGGCAGCTAAGTGTCACCTTCGTCAAGTGTGCCTTTGTGTTTTCAGGAACAGGTCTGGATCTCGTGGCTGCAGAAAATATCCCTGTAATACTTGCTGGTTTGGTGAGTAACTTCTGCTGATCCTACATTACTTCATGATCTCACATGGGAAATTCTGGAACAGTAAATGATATACTAAGTGCATGTGGATGCCCCATCCCTGGAGGCATTCAGGGCCAGGCTGGATGTGGCTCTGGGCGGTCTGGTCTGGTGGTTGGTGACCCTGTACGTTGCAGGAGGCTGAAACTAGATGATCATTATGGTCCTTTCTCAACCCAGGCTATTCTGTGTTTCTAATATGGTTGTTAAATGTCCCTAGAGGTGTGAGCTGAGGTCACAAAGCTGATTTCTGACACTCTCTCAACTTCAGGTCTCTGCTTTACCTCTCGATGTCATTAGCGATTTCATTTATGGAGCTCTATGTATAGTGATTAATAAAAAATAGCCAGAAATCCCACCCTATTCACAGAGGCAGTGGCTGTGCAGGGTTGGAGGAGGGCAGAGAGATGGGACTCCTTAGTGTTTTTCTCCCCTTCTTCTCACCTGCCCCAGCAAAACCCTCAAATTCATCCTTCTATAGAAATCTGCATTTCCTGGCTATTTCTGGTACCTGCTTCGCACTCCCATTCTCTGCCCTGATGTGATTTCTCTGCTTCTGCTGCTGCTTCTGCTTCTCCTATTGTTGCAGCCTCCTGCAAGGAGAGGAGTGTTCAATGGTCAGTGGAATTTTGAGCAGTTTCTCTTGAGTTGTGTGCCTGGGGTTTCATTGCAGAGGAAAGTATATGGCATGAAGCTATTGCTTTTTCTGTCCTTTCCTTGTCCAGACTTTTACTCTGACATCTCCAAATCAACAGGGTCTGAATCATGGCTTTTGTTACATGAAAAGCAGATGAAGGGTTTGGTCAAAAAAACAGCTCTTGGGAAGAGCTTTGTTCTCTCTGCTTGAGTCCAGCTGGGGTTTCATGTCTTCCCAGCCCCTTTTTGCTCACTTTTCTCCTTACTTGTGCTGTGCAGTGTTGGAGATGAAGAAGGGACTGCTCTTGGGGGCTGGACTGGGAGTGGGATCATGGCTGATTTTTGAGTAACTGAGTGCTTGTGTCCTCACAAAGCATGCTACCTGCAAATAGCCCCAAATCACCGATGGAAGGAATGAGGGATGTTATTTTTAAACCTCTGAACCTTGAACCCTCGGCTGAACCTAACGATGCTGCAGCAATTAGCACGTATTCAGCAACTCTGAACATCAGTCACACTGAAGTGATAAGCAGCACAAACTTTTTTATAGTCAGTCCTGTGGCTCTTTTGTTTAATCATGAGCTGATAACAATTAGCCATTTCAATCTACTGCTTAATTTAAACACTAGACTAATTTCCAATCTGAGGCACTATTCAGAATCAACATTATAATTAATTCTATGGATACTTCTTTGGGGGATAAAGTATCTAAAGGTATAGCAGGCTTCATCTAGGGATTAATGTTATTGCTGGCGAATGTCAGGTGTATGGACGATGTTACAGCCTACTTGCTTTCTTCAGATGTGTGAGTTATTGATTGCTTCATCGATGGCTGGTTCCTAGCTGTGTTTCATTATGCTGTGCAGCAGAGGGTTGTTTGTGTTTTGTTGGGTACGTTTGACCTGTGATTGCCCTATGATAAGTAGTGGAGAAAGCAGGCTTTTTTTTTTTTTCCTTCTACTGTTGCTACTTTTTAAGTCTAGTCAATATGCATATGCTGCTCTGGTATGACCCTGTTAACCTGCATTGGATTAAAGACTGGATAATTTAAAAAGCTTTTATATTTAATTACATTTAATAAGCAAAAGAATTCAGAAGAAAGCACATTGTCCCCCATCAGTAATGGGTCTGGTGCTGAGGCTGACCCTCAGTCTGGCTCACCTGGCCACACAACACCAGTGTTACCCCTTACTGATTTATGTAGTGTGTGTGGGGTCGGCCCCCTCAGTGTGAAGCAGTGCAATAGGATGTGCACGGCCTCCTGGTGCAGAGAGGGGAAGCTGTATGTCTGCTGCCTTTGTACTGGGACTCTCCAGCAGCTTTAAACGTCTCTGAACCCCCAGGCAGTTTTTGGGAGTGCAAATCTGCTTATGAATGAGAAAAACTTTAGTGGGACCTAATCATTTATCCCCCACACTGCATTTTCTTTTGAACAGCTCTGATAATTCTTGCAGCAAGACTTAAATTGGTTGTCTCCTTCACTTCAATAAATTAAAACTACTGCCAGTGTGGCAGTCAGTGCTTTGAGTGATGTGGCTTTACGTGACTTCCCACCTAAGCTGTGCTGCAGTGCCAGCGGAGCAGCTTCCAGATAATTTCTCTTTGCTGCACTGCAGCCTGAAGTGATGCTGTACACCATGGAGAAGGAAATTCATCAATATAAGTAGGCAGCACCTCCAGAAAAGACAGTACTCTTACCTTGAGAACTTTTAATCATTTATCTCCCGTGTTCAAACTTACTATCACGATTGTCCCAGTTTCACCGTAACCTCAATGGTTCTTGAGTAAATGTTGAAATAAGGGCAGCTTTGATGTTTGAAAACTAACAGAAGGTGGGCAGTGCTGCTGACTCTGGAGAATGTTTGAGGTCCCTCCCGTGTGGCTGCGCTGAGTGGCTGTGGGCAGGGAGCAGCGGGTGATGTGGGAGCCTGGAAACAGCAAGAGTTTAATTATCCCCTCGGGTTACAACTTAGCAGAATAGCTGCTGATGTTAATGGGAACAATGCACAGAGGAGGAGGTGTGCTTGTGAGCTTGTTCTCTCCCTTCTCATCTTTTCAGTGGTGAGTTCTTTTCAATGCTTTTCCATGTGGCAATAATAGAGAGGATGGCAGGATGTAATCGAAGTCCATTGCCCCATGCAGCAGAGTCTGAGGGACTGAGGATAGTTTGGGTGAGCATGTGCAGGGCTGGGGAACAAGTCTGACAGCAGTATGTTGAACAGGCTGTGGCTTCAAACCTTCCCCAGACAGCTCTCCTGCTGGGAGAGGGTACAGCCTGGGCATGTTCTGGGGGAAACATTGGCATATTATTCCTCCCGAGGCCTATACCTCTCAGGTACTGTGGATGCTATTGCTTTCATCAACCAACTGGAAGGAGGTTGTGGTGAGACAGGGGCCAGCATCTTCTTCCAGGTGACAGTGATGGGTTGAGGGAACGGCCTCAAGTTACACTAGGAAGGTTCAGGTATTAGGAAACATTCCAGAGTGGTGTTGCACTGGCACTTGCTGCCCAGGATGTGGTGTGGTCACCATTCCTGGAGGTGTTCAAGAAACATGGAGATGTGGCACCAAGGATCGTGGTTTAGTGGGCAGCGTTGATGGATGATTGGACTAGATGATCTTAGCTCTTTTCCAAACTTAATTATTTTATGATTCTGTGATTGCCTCCAGCTCATTAATTCTCAGCATGTTGAACAGATTCTGCATTTGAATTTTTACTGTCTGGTTTGTTTATCTTAAGAGAATCCTCCAGATTGCCTACTACAATACATAAAATACTACTTATTCTTACACTTTTCCTTCTGATGTTGGAATGATTGCATGTAAAAACTACTGCTTAAGGAACAGAGAAGGCTTTTCTGGAAGCAAGCTAGAGTATGTCCAGATGGAGCTGAAAAAGGCCTCTTGACTGGCAACAGTGAAGCAGTTGAAGATTCCCAAAGAATTATTTCTCCACTTGTTAGTGGAATGTTAATTCCTGTAATGCCATGTGCAGTAGAGCTCATGTTGAACTACAGATCTGAGATAAATCTGTTTTTTCTGCTTTTGAATTGCTCCCGCCAATTTGCAGAGAGAAATGTTCTCTTCCTTCTCTTGTATCCTGAAACACAGCATTTATTCTGATACAAAAAATCATTTCACTACTTCTAGAGCGCTTGGTCTTCTCCTGGGGAAATAATGATCTTTTGCTGATTCTGTCTTGCTTCATAGGGGTCAGGACTTAAAAGCAGTGTAGCAGTGGATGCTGTAGGCTGAGCCCCTTGTGCCTGTTGCATCTGTCCCCAGTTCTCAGCTGGAACTGCACAGCCTGAGAACTGTAGGGACTTAACTTTTCAGCAATCCACTGCTCACAGCTTGCCCGTCTTATTAGAATGACTCACCAGTTTAGCTGGTTTTGAAGTTCACTTTTAATCTCCTAGGTGCTTGGGTTTCAATCCATAATGTGAAGCACCCTAATTGGTTTCAGTTTTGTTGTATTATTTTTCTTTGGTTACTTTATTCCCACAACTGGGCACTTAATGTCTCCTTGGAGATGGCTGTGGTTGTTTTCTGCGACCTGTTGTGGGCTGTCTTTGTAATTTGTCTTACCTTCAGAAGGAAAAATACCTAATTGCTAAGAGGATAACCAATGTATAAATCACTAAATGAAATCAATGAGAACATCTAATAAAATCAAAAAACTCATTAGAGTTTTGAAGATGAAGTGAGGCTCCATGCAGTCTTGCAAGGAGATTAACAGGAGATGGGCTCCAATTTACGGTCTTTATCAGTCCTTTGAAGAGAAGTCACCTAGAGGAGCTAGGGATTTGCTTCTGAGAAGTGTCTAATATGAAATTCTTTCTTCTGTTTTAAACACAGCTGTGTATGTTGTGAGGTAACTCATTTAGGTACAGCAGAGCTTCAGCCTGGCAGGAAGCTCCAGCAGATGTACATAGAGCACTTTCTTGAACTGAAAGTTGCAGAAGTTGACCTTATAAAGTAGTTTAATGAGCCCATCTGCCACCCGACTCTTGCAGTATTGAAGTTCTGCTTCTATTTCTATTCTGTTGGGTATTCCACTCACTTGTGTAATAAATATATCTGCCTGTGTTGGGGGAAAAAAAAGCAAATTTACAAAGCAAATCCAAAGCATCCTCCTATTAGGTTTATGCAGTCTACATACTGGAATGCAACTGAGTTATATTGACTTATAAACTTACCACGGATCATTTTTAGGTATTTAGTTCCCTCTGTAGTCATCTTTAACTATCTGAACATAATCCTTAGACCCTCACAGAAATACCAACAGAAAAGATCACTTTATTGCATTTCAAAGGAAAAATAAATCACTTGCTTGTCTTGCTGTGAGGGGTTGTATTTTTGTCCTGTTTTCTTTAATCTGACATGCCTGGTCTCAAATTCAGGTCTTAATTTTGGAGCTTCTCTCCTGTATTTACTCTTAAACTCAAAGGGTCTATCTGTGTAAGAACATAATCTCACTTAGTAGGCTTTATGTATTTTGGTTTCATGTTTTGAATGCACTCAATCTAATTATTTCTTTTCCATAGCATAGGCGAATAGAAGTAATATCACTGGTACCACATAGGTATAAAACTAGGGAAGGGGAAGAAATTGAATCAAACTCTTCTTCTGGGGGGTAATGCTCTGCACCTTTCCTTACTCTATATTTTTGATTAGTGTATTCACAGTCATCTCATGTTTCTGTGCAGATTGAGTTGGATATCAGCCAAGCTCTAACTAAACTGCTTTGGGAAAATATAAAGTGAGTGTAGGCATTCATTAAGGAAGAACAGCCTTTCCTTGGGGAGAGATAGACCTGGAATGCAGTGTTAAATGTCTGACCTGAATAGGTGAGAATGTCGAGTCTACTCCATGCTCACCTCAAGTCAAAAGTTTAATGCAAGGTGATGCAATCTATGGATTTTTTTAATTGGATCACTACTGCATGTAGCTGTCATCATGCACATGAGCAGTATATTTTTTGACTTGACACCATCCATAAAGGAGCTCTGTGGAGGAAGTGAATGTTGTCCATGCCCAGGTAGAGGCAGTGGCCTCTGTGATAAGGGTGCAACCCCACAGCACTGATCAACTCAGAGCTGGGGGAGAACAGCTGCAGAGACACTCACAAAGTTGCCCAAGGAGGCTTAGGGCTGTTGACATGCAGGCCATGAGGATGTGTGGCAGTAACAGGCTGCGAGGATGGCCTCCTAATCAGCTGTGGGGTTGAGAGCTGGGACCTGTTCTACTTTGGTAGCAACAGACAGCTAATGTATGGGACTGGAGTATCTATGCTTACAACAAATAGCTGTGGCAATTTGCAAGTACAATAAATGGAGAGATAAGTAATCAAAATGAATATATGATACAGTAGCCCGATCTGAGAGAGCTTAAATACTGTAAGCTGTTTTTTTTTCTTTCTGCAGTATAGATCAACATCCCAGCAGCATGTATCCTGATTTAGATGTAAACTGTGGATTATCAAATTCAATGTGCATCTGTCTCTTGCAACAAATGTTGCTTTCTGCTGTATTTTTTCCTCAATTAGAGAGACAGTTATGTCCTGTCTAAACACTCTTCCTTCTGTAAGGCTTCCCAAATCTCCTCAGTAACCCAGTGTGAAGGTAGGTGCAGGTCATCTAGACCAGTAGATACTGATGCAATATATAGGGAAGATGCCACCATTTGAACAGCCTTAGTTTTTGGCAAAGTATGTAGCAAGAAGCAGAGTACCGTTGCCCTGAATATCCTTCCTTTTTTAGGATTAATTCCAAACAAGGAGAAATCTGAAAGCCCCAGCACACCGACTGCCTTTCTGTACATACATCTTGCGTGTGTTTTAGGCTTCTCATGTCCAGTGCTGGTGCACCTCCTGACCTGATGGTGCTTCATAAATGCCACCACTTAACCTTCTGTCAACTTGTCTTGGCTACAGAACCGTAAATCTTAGGCTCTGCTTGGGGCAGTGTTGATACTTCTCATTTTCTTGCTTTAAGCCAAATGGTGCTCTTTTCTTCCCACAAAACATTGCTGTAGTCAACAGTGTAATGCTTGCTTTTTCTAACACTTATCTGAAATTCTCTGCAGGCGAAAGAGAAGAGGGGGTGCTGTGACTCACAGCTGAATGCATGCTGCTGCTTTGGAGCAGCAATGGCTCAGCTCCAAAGCACAATAAAACTGAAGGCCAGAAAAGGACAGGCAGATCATATACTTGCTTAAGCATATCTCACATCACTTGAAGACAAAGGCAGAAGTATTGCTTACCCTTCTGACCTCAGATGAACATTTTTATGTTGAAGAGATAAAGGTGAGAACGCTTTTCACCCTGCCCACTTATCTTGAATATAGCTTACGAGTATCCCACAGCTTTTACAGTAAAAAGATGATACTGAATACTAGGCAACTTGAAGTAGGTTATTTAGACATGAATGGCATACCCAGTTCAGACGGTTTCAACACCTTTAATGGTACTGTGCTTCAGACCCCACAGGATCTGTTAAAGAGCAGCATTGCAGTACTGAGAAACGTGGTCAATATTTTTGAGACTTCCAGAAACTACTGGAAATTTTTGAAGCACAACTTCAAATATTCTGCAGAGGAGAATCTCTGTACAACACATAAAACATTTCTTTAAATGTCACTAGTTTGATTTCTTTATTCAAAACAGAATATCAGATAATCATTAGGAGTAGTAATGAGTTATTTGCAGGAAAACTTGAGACAATCTGCAGGAGGAGGTGTGCTGGCTGGTTGGCAACCTCTGGGCAGCAACACCAGTGTCTGCTGCATAGACAGCCCAAGTTGCTGCGTGACAGCCCCAGATGCTGTGGAAGGTTTGAGGAACTGCTGTCACTGACACTAAGCCTTAAAAAATCTCTAGCATCCCTTATGATGCTCCAATAAATGTATTTCATTTTAGTCTACGGCAGGCTGCCTACCTTTAAAATAGACTCTACGCTGATAGCAGTGTTTGGAACAGTTTAAGTGACTGAAGCAGAACAGATTGCTAGCTGTTTCAAAAATTTTCTGATTTTTTTTTTTTTTTTCCAGTTTTACCTACCTGAGATAAAAGTTTTTCCAATATCAAACTTTTTTTTTTTTTGGTGATATAGGATGGTTTTTGAACCTGTACGTGTGATGCTGACTCCACAAACATTTTCTTAGCTCAAGCAGTGAAGAAATAGCTCCAGTGCTTTCTCCAGGAAAAGAATTCTTCTCTAATATCAAGTATTTGTGAAAGATGAGTGAATACTCCTGACAGATGTCACCAGGGAAAATGAGCCTGTAGATACTAATGAGCTGGATGACGTTGTTCTGAGAGCAAGCTCAGCTCAGTCCCAGGCCAGACAGGCAGCAAGGCCTGGGAAAGACATAAATACCAACCAACAAACTGAAGGTTGTGTGTAATGGTGTTCCTCAAAGTTCCACTTGTTTATGGAGACTTTGTCATCTTGTTGTCTGAAAATCCCAGGCACTTTGTTTTCCAACTCAGTACTGCTGCTCTGAAATGTGTAAGCAGTGATTTCTTCTCTCTCTTTTATTCCAGATCAGTTTTAAGTGTTTCTGTTGTCTGTGCGAAAGGAGACTTATAATATCATTTAGAAGTGTCAATTGTTCTGTCATCTTGCTTTTACCAGAGGAGTCTCTTTGAGCTGTTATTTGTCCTTTAGAAAAGATGTTCCATCTTCTCAAGATGTATTTCATATTATGAGGGAAATTTGATGTTAGCTAAATAATAGACATCACAGTGCATCTTGAATACTAGTAACAGGTGAAATGTAAATTGTGTGATTAGCATGCAGCTATAGATGCAGCAAAGAAGCAAACGGCTATACTTTGATTGCTCTAATTGCGTGCAAGTTTAATCGTATATTTGATGCCCCTGAACAATAGCAATGAATAACTGTCATGCTTTTTTCAAGTGGACTCTCTAGTTGACGAAGTTTTTGTATTATAGCCTTTGTGTTGAAGGGAAATCAATATCTGAAGAGGAAGTGCTGAGTATATTCTGTTAAGTCTGTCCTCAGCTTTGATCTAAGAAGATCCCCAAGTATTAGAAAAGCCTACTAGTAGAAATAAGGCTTATTCTCTATAATTAAGGCTTTCAATTACCTTGTCTTAGTAGGTAAAATAGAATTATTTTTTCCTCCAACATGGGACTCTGAACTTCCTGTAATTATTTAATAGTAGGAATTGGTCTCCAGCAGTAGATCAGGAAATATCCTGGGACACCTAGTTAGTCCTTAAGCAATGGGTAGCTCGTGAGGGGGAAATAACATGCTGATTTGCAGTTATAATTGGAGAAAATTGCTCAAGAGGATTCTGAGAGTACAGAAAATAGGCCAATTAGTAACCCGGCTCTGATCCTCCTATGATTCATGATTGCTTCCATTTAATTTTGCTGTCACTTATGAAGCAAGGTTAAGAATAGATAAGCTAAGAGATGGCTCAAAGAAGCTAACTTCTGCTTGACTTTGGGTGGTGGGGTAGGAGAATGCAGGATTTTTTCCCCCCTCTATGGCTGTATGACTTGAGTATTAAAATTTCTTAATGTTGCACTTCACACTTATTCGTTATAGTGGAATAAATTATGATTAAACTCTTCACATACACATGATTTTTCCAAAGATAAAATGTAGCCCAGCAGTAAGTTAGTCACACTTTAACACTGTTATCTAAGGGCATTCCACCATAATCAATGTTAAACTAAAGGAACTTAAAGAGAAATAAAGAGCTCGAACTGCAGCCACAGGGAATATCCTGCAGCTCAGCCTTGAGCAGCAGTCAGCTGTAATGTGGAGGCTTCAAAACATCAGGGAAGGCATCCAAAGGGCAGCACAGGGAGGCTGCTCCCTGTGAGTGTAGGACTGTGCCTCCCAAGTGGTTCTGTCCCATTGCCCCTTCAGTGCTGGGATTAATTTGGACACAGGTGTAGCTCCTCATCAGCTCTTCTGTTCACCAGCTCCTTTCTCCATAGCTCGTTCTGCTGCAGGTCGCTGCGTGTGGGAGCAGAACCCTGAGGAAGCACAGGCCAAGCGCTGCAGGTTTCCATCTCTGGTATGTGCAGAGGCCCAGCCAAATGGTGACCAAGTGCCTGTGTCTGGCCTTGCATGCAGCCCCTGTTTGCCAGGCATTGCTCTGACCTGCATCTGCCTGGGGCCTGTCCTAGAGATCACCTGTTCTGGAACTGTGTATCATTCATGGCTTGATGGATGTGCTGTCGTTCTTAAGTGCACAACAGCTGGATCTGTTGCCATCCCATTTATTTCATGAATTTTATCACAAATTGGGTATCTCTTAAAGTGAATAATGAATTGCCCTATTAGTGTTTACTTTAGATAGATCAGCGTTGTCACAATAATGGTTATGTTACAAGAACTGAATGCATTAGAACACCAAACCAGCCTGTTCTTTTACTTTAGAAATCCACATTGCTTGCTAAATACAGAATCACAGAATCACAGAATTGTAGGGGTTGGAAGGGACCTCCAGAGATCATGGAGTCCAACCCCTGCCAAAGCAGGTTCCCTACAGCAGGTCGCATAGGTCGGCATCCAGGCAGGTCTTGAACATCTCCAGAGAAGGAGACTCCACCACCTCCCTGGGCAGCCTGTTCCAGTGGTACTCAGAAGTCTTGGCAGCGTGCTCCTCCCACAAATACTGGCCATGAATATAGACAGGGAAACAGGGTGATCGTGAGTTATACTCAGCAACTGTGGCTGCAATGCATGGCTAACAGTTGAGGAAATGTGCTTTCAAACAACTACGAAGCAGAGTGTCTGTTTGCTTTCCCTAGACACAGAACACAGTCCCCTGGAGGGGCTTGGGCTCAGCTGTTGGCTGTGTGGGACAGACAGGAGATCCTGTCTCAGGAGTGGCCTGGCAGGTGAAATTCTTCCATAGCAACACAGATCACTTGCATGCACAGTTCTTACATTTCAAGAGCGCTTTTGAGTTTTATTGCGTCAGTTTAAAGAAGGAGGAGTAATGTGTACTTTTTTGGTGAGAAAACAGTTTCTTGTTTTTCAAGCATGTGTGTTTTAGCTACTAACGTACCATGGGAAAGGCTTTAATTCAGACTGAGCTAAAGCTTTCCATATCCACGCCTCAAGTGCCATTTTCCGAGGCTCTCGTGGGAGCAGTGTCCTCTCTTCATAGGGAGCACAGGTTGTGAGTGGGCAAGTGCAAAGACTGCAATGTGTGCTTGTAACAAGCAGGAATAAAAGCAGAAAGTACTGCTTGGAGCATTAAGAGTTGAAAACATTTTGATTTGACAGCGTAACTTTTTGTAACAAGTACTGTTTGCTACTTATAGCTGATTTGATTTCATTGACTTTTTCTATATACTATATAATAAAAATTAAGGAGTAGAACAAAAACAACTTGCAGTTTGGAGCAAGTTAATAGTGTTTCATTAACAAACTGTAAATAGTAACAGCATAAGCTAGATGTGAAACTGCTTTCACAGGCCATAAATGCTTAATGTTTATTACCAATAAAAGTCAAAGGAGCATTTAGCAAAGCAGTTTACCAAACAAACATTAAATACTTTAATGCATTAGATTCAGTGGACAGAATCAGGTTATTTAATTAACAATGAGTAATCTGTAAGGGCTTTATTCACCACAAATGATCTACAGTTTCACACATTAAAAGGGCTCATGGAAGCTGTCCAGTGATGGAAGAAAACTTGGAGGTGCCAGGTGCAAAAATCCCCTATTGGCTTCCTGTCTTGGTACTGTTGGTTGGTACCGTATGGCCTTACCCTGTGCTAGTCTAGACTTCAGGTATTTCTGATGGTGCAAGTATTCTGGAAGAAGAATTGTGAAAGTCTTTTAGACACAATCTCAATCTCAGTTATGTTCTCAGTCACGATCTTATGCATGACATTTAGTTAATCTTTCCAAAAAGATGCAACAAATGCCATGCAACAAATGGCTAATGAGAATAATTCTGTATTTAAGATGTTAATCTCAGTGGTAAAGTCTTCCTAATTAGAAACAGTGACTTCCAAAACAAGCATTTGGGATGAAACCAGTGCTCTGGAAGCAGAGCTGACGGTCTCTTTGGCCTTGCTGACTTTGTTTGAATTTCAGTAAATGAAGAAAACTGTAGAAAATGAATACTTCTGTACGGTGATCCTGTGACATAGGACAAAACTGTGCTGAGCTTTTCATATATTTTAGTAAAGGAAGTTAGGCATTAGTGCCTGATCTAGCGTAGGCAAAGAGCTTTTAACCATTAATCTCAACGCAATTCTCCTGTTGAGACATGAGAGTCCTGTCTTGAGAAAGATTCGTCTTCTCCTCAATTCCGTGGTCAGAAAGATTGAGTTTTAATCAAAACGGATCACCAGAAACATTTCAAAGAGGAATGTTCTTGCAGAATCTCAAACACCTTCCTTTTATCGTGATGAATTCTTTGGTAATGCTGCCTTCTCTTCATGATGGAAATGGTGTGTCTGCCTGATACGGACAGCTGACGCACGTGGTCAGCACATGCTGGATCGGATGAATCCCTCTAAATTTGTGGATTCGGATGCAAAGCTGCTCTGATTTCAGAGCTGTTCTGGTTTCTTCTCAGTGTTTCTTGAGAAGGTAACCTAATTCAGATAAGCATTTTAGCATTTTGGAAGGTTGGAAATGTGGCCATTTTAGCCACCTGTCTTGAGTGCATTCAAATCAAACCAAGTACGTGTACGTAAAACAGCTGTAGTGGAAGTTACCTGTGAAACTTCAATATGTCACCTGTTGTGAAGTTACAACTATGGCAGAAATTAAACGAATCTTTCTAAAGAGGAAGATAAGTATTGTTCAGTGTGAACTTCATAACTTCAGTGTTTGAAGCCTTATTCAGTCTTCCATTTGATAGCAGTTTATGATTATTATAATCATGTGGCTAATGTTCTGTAATTCAATTACTGCACTGTTGTGAACATTAACAATTATGTAGCAGAACTGAAACGCAGTGGGACAAACTGGCAGTATTCATATTTCAGTTAGTTACAGCCTATTGCATAATTACTGCAGATAAGTTACTGTTTTATCCATAGCAACATAAGGAATGAATTACAACAATAATTATGTAGTTAATACTGTCTCTTAAAATGAATAAAACGTGGAAAATGTTTTTTTTACCAAAATTATTATTATTTTTTTTTGGTAAGCCAGTTTAAGACCTTGCATACTGCTTTGGTGACTGGTGCCCATCACTTTTGACTTGCAATGAAAACTGCACTGATTTGAAGAATGTTGCCCGATGCTTCATGTGTGTACTGTGATTATTATTGGTGTTGTTCAACAAGTTACCACCTTCAAAAGTGCCCACTTCTTTCATCCTTCAAATGTTTGTATTTCACTCAATGTCAGAGTAAATTGCATGATTGATGTTCTAGTCCATTTATCAAGGAACTCATGCATTCCCTTTTAAAAATCAATATTTAGGAATAAAATAGCCTTGCAATAATTTATCAGTGTAAGAAAAATGTTGTCTAATGTTTTACTTGGGTAACTAACTTTTGAAGATTAAATAAATGGCAAACCTCATGTCAGGCTTGGCTACCTCAGCAGTCCTTGCATTGGCTCTGTTCATGCAAGAAACAGGGCAGAAGTGGAACTATTATCTATGGGTGAGCAGTGTGCAAAAAACCTGTCATTTGTTCCAAAAACACTATAGTGATTTTACTGGAGAGACCACAAAAGTAGCTGCTTCACTTGGTTCTCCAACCTGCATTGATTTGAATCTAAAAGTGTATCTTGTTGGAAAAAGCTGAAAATATACTTAATAAAAACTGGCTTTAAAGCTAGAGAAAAAAGACAAAGTGGTCATTGAAGTTCAAACTGCAGTGTGGCTTGTGGGCAAAGTTTCAAGTTTTTTGGACCCGCGTTCCAGCAGCCCTCAGATACAGAATGGTCAAAGAATATCAGGACTATTAAAGATCTCTTGTATGGTCAAGAAAACAAGAAAACAGCCAAGTCAATTACTTTCATTCAGGTATTTGTACTTCTGATAGGCCTTTATATCTGAAAATATAGTCTCCCTATTATGGATATTTATATATATTTAAATATTTTTGTTAACTTACAGTTAACATCTGTAACTGGTTTCACTAACGCCTTGCTTACAGTTGTTCTGCTTTTGGATTTGTGTGGAGCACTGCCGTGAGGCTTCTGTATCTGATAATGGCTTACGTACTTCTATTGATATAAATGGCTCTTGAGAAAGGTTCGGTACTTGTTCTGTATTTTTTCTGATTTTCTGGGTGTAATAAAAAATCAAATGATAACATGTTACTATAACCTCACATTAAGAAAGGTATACTTTTGTTAGGACTCCTTATTACTATCTTGAATTCCTAATTTCTGCCTGAATGATATAAAGTGAAAGCGCTCTCTTCTAATTTGCTCCTAGTCATAAGACAGATCTGGGGCAATCAAACAGTATTTAAGTGCGAATGCAGCTGCTGAAGGCCCAGATGATTTTCAGACCCCTTGTGAAAGCACTGGCATGTACAAGTAGCAATACTCTCCCTGTACAGAAATCTCTTCGTGTCCTTGTACTTTTACAGGAGTGTTTTCAGCTTCTTTCCATCCTCCCTTTGTAATTTTGCTAGAGCTGTCCCCTAGTGCTAGGTGGAAAATGGAAACTTCTGTTTGAGTATGCTTTGAACTCATGCTGTAGTTCAGTGTTGAGTACAGCAAGAACCAGGACAACTCCCCTGATTAGGCTCTTAACTCTCTTTCTGGTTGGTAGGTTGGCTTACCCATTGAGGATTTTTGCTACAAAAAACAGAGCTCATTATTTTTAGACTGTAGGAATTGCTAGCTGTCAAAAAACAGCCAAAGTAAGCTTGATTATCCTAATGCCACTCAGTATAAATGTGCACGTGGGTTTGTGTATTCAGAAATAAGTTAGTATACGAACACACATGAGAAATCTTTAGAGACATTTAGACATCTGTATTCGTTGACTTCTTTAGGCTTGTCTGCATGTAGGCTTGTGATCCTCTGAAAGGTATTGGGATTTTTAGAGAAACCTGAGTTGCAATGTTCTTCAGATCCGTGTTCCCTCAACTCAACTGTGTAGTTACACAGCAAATCTATTTTCTCTATATGCTTGTGTCACTAAGCATTCTAACTGTAAATCATTGTGTTCGTACAGAACGACTTGCCAACTCATCACAGTAGAGAGCACTTGCTGGATTTGTGAAATGTGTTAGTATGCAACAGTCGTGTGTAATTTCACCTAATTACAAATAGTGAGGAGTTCTTTTTGTGTGAGAAATACATTTTCTGTATTTGGGTTCTTCCTCACTCCTGACGTTTAACAAGGGACTGGCAATTCATAGTCTGACTCAATTTGCCACAGTGTTGAGAAGAAAAGTTTTACTAAACAAAGACTTTGGAAGT